GAAATCCAAAAGTTAAACTACAGGTTTTGAATTTGACTGAATAATTGTACTTTTTCTTTTTTTTGGGGCGGGGGGGAATAGAATTCGATGCTAATTTTTGCCATGAGTTTTTTTTTTTCTTCTTGTTTTTTACAAAATCCATGTATTAAGAAACTTGTATGAGAAAAAAATATGTAATGCAAGGATGACAAAATGTTGGACTTTCATTAATCGTATGTTAAACATACTTAGAAATGTATGTCAGTCTGGGTATCTATCATCTCTTCATATTAGATATCTGAGTATCCATTATCTCTGTCCTACAGATGTTTCTATGTATATAATATGTAGTATATAATGTATGGGTATATGTATGTGTATATGTATGTATTATGTAATGTATATATGTATGTATATATGTATGTATATAATGTTTCTTTTTTTTTTTTTTCTATGTATATATGTATGTTGTATGTATGTGTGTATGTAGTGTGATGTATTTGTATATGTATGTGTATATGTATGTGTGTATGTATGGATGTATGTATGGGTGTATGTATGGGGTGATGTATGTATGTATGTAGTATGTATGTATGGATGTTATGTATGTATGTATGTATGTATGTATGTATTATGGACCACACACACACACACACACACACACACACACACACACACCACACACACACACACACACACACACACACAACACACACACACACATCCACACACATCCATATTATAACTGGCATTCACATCCATAATTATAAACTGGCCATTCACATCCATTACCTCTCCCCATACTTATGTGCAGACATATACCGTACACAACATCAAACACAACAACTTACCACACTGCTAATGTTCTTTTCTATTGCCGATCTACCTGCCTTGTCCCTGATGCAAGAACGTATAGATATAAATTGATCTCATCTGCAGGTTTTCTCCTGATGTACTGGGCATGCAGCCAAGCTCAGCAAATGGTCATGCTTGTGCTTGAGATCTTCTTGATTTTGGCCACACTCTATGTTACAGCATAAGTACAAATATCAAGACTCTGAACCTCTTGGCTTTTTCCTCATACAAATATGTTGGTAAGCATAACGTTTTTTTTTATTTCCTTTGTTCTGTGTATTTTGATTTTATTTAGTAGTAGACTGATATTTTCAGATTGTGTAAAAAGTATTTATTTTTATATTTATCTTCCCAGGATGACATTGCCCTGCTGGCTGGGATAGTTGATGACCTGGATACTACCTTGTCCTTGCCTACAGTAGCTTCAGCTTGTAATTTTCATGGTGAGTACAAAGTTTTTAATATTCCAAATTAGTAATGCTGTTTTCAGTTGATAAATGTAATGTATATCGGCATATGTTGTGCATATTTGCTTGAGTAGATTGAGAGATAGGTTGATGTAGTTTTAAATTATATACTTTCAAGAAATGTGGCCAAATAGTTGTCCTTGATTATTATCCTAAGTAATTGGCAGTTTCTAACCACAGTTCCGAACCTTACGATGGCAGGTTCCAAGAGGTGATGGAGCCATGGAAGCTTACAGTGGCTGGTACTAGCGTCGCCTCTACCTCTTGCTTGTTTATCAGGCATTCAGCCACTCATGATGTAGTGGCTTCACTAGACACCTGTGGTTACTAAACAAACATAGGTGATAAGGCTTTTCTTTTTGCTGTATATTTGCAGATTAGTCCACACTTTCTTGCTACATCATTGAATATCATGAGTTGTGTTGTTGGTTACTCAGATAGAACGGCTAAATGGTTGAAATAGAAACTAAGGAGGAGAATTGTGTCCTTCTAACATATAATGGGAAATATGCATATTTGCTTCCTAATATTTTATATATTATATTTTCTTTTTTTTTTTTTTCTCTCAAGTTATTGGGTTATGTCAGACATTCTTTCTAAAGTTTAGATTTGTACCCTTATTACCTCTTGGTGTATATACTTGTTTGCTTTTCTCGCAACACTTGGTCATAAAAGAAGATTTATTTAGAATAACAGTAGCTGCCCATCTTAATACCTCCCAATTGTTTCATGCCAGGACAGTGAACAAATCTGGTTTAATGGTTGGAGGCTCTTTGGGGAATGGTAAGATCTGAGGTTTTGCGTGGCAGTTTAGACTACTTTGGCTTAGCAGTATCAGTCTGATGGTCGGATGAAAGTGAGATACCACTCTTTAAGCAACTTTGATCTTATGTATTACACACATTCTTTATAATCCAGGGTCCATGCAATGTGTTCACGTATATTGCGTGAGGATTTTCATGGAGACTAAATAAGTGTTATGAATTTGGATATTCTTCCAGTGGACTATACTAGTGATATTTTTTGTTAGTGGGCAAGTGTTTTGTTAATTTTGTGGATGTATACCTGCATTGCCAAGTTATTAGATGCCTAAAATCATTTTACAAAAAGTGATAAGGCTTCAAAGGCTGAAACTAATTGTTTTAGGCTTAGAGCTTCTTAATTTTGTAATAAAAATAAAAAATACAATTTCTCTTTTAATTCTTTCCCATATCTGAATGGCAAGTAGATAGTGATTTGAGGAAAAGGTTCAATATTATGAGTATCATTTGTATGTTACTTGTGAAGTACTGGAGTTTCTTGCGTGATGTGAAATATTTTGAAACTAAAAATCTAGTTTTTAACCAATGACGCCGGGTGTACAAAAAAAAAAAAAAAACAAAAAAAAAAAAAAAACTCTACGCTAAGCAAACAAAGGCGGTTTGCACCAACTTGGAGTGCATGAGTAGGGGGACATCCGCCGAATCACTGGCTGGCCGCCGTCGCGTACAGCCGCACGCCAGCTTTCAAGCGGTTTGTTTTACACGCCGATCGTGCGTCACCGCACCAGGGGTTAATATAATATTAATCAAATTGATAAGAAAGATAAGCTTGTTGGAAAAGTTACTAAAAAGTATTAAATGGATGTAGTTTACCTAATTCCATTACAGAATATATCAGATTTTTGTCAACTGATAATGGGTTTTGAAAAAGATAAGGTTTTTGAAGAATATCTCAATGGATTAACAATTTCTGGATAAAGTGCTTACTTGTAGCAATGTATACACTTTTGTATTTGCACTGTGGAGAAGGTATTTTAGTTTTGTTTAGCCAGCCTGATTCATGTGGCAACTTTTACCAATATTACCCCAATCTTTCCCTCCCTGGCTAATACCTTGCATAATGTAATGCTCTTTCTATTTTTCTCTAATTCACCCAAATAAATATCCCAACCGATCCTCACAATTTTCTTAACACATACCTTTAGTCAATCCAGTACCCATATCATATGGTGGCTATAAATCAACTTCAGGTATGTAGTCTTCATTTCACACATACCAACACTATCTTCCTCCTTGAAGCAAGTATCCTTACAACAGAACTATATGCTATTCCTTTTGCACTCTGACAATGCATTCTTCCATTCTTCCTCATCCTTCACCCATCTTCACTGACTCACACACTCAATATCACTCTCACAATCAATTACACCAATCAACCCTATAATCTGTAAGATACAAGACAGCTTGTTTATCGTTCTACATGGACAGAAAGCAGTGGAATTTTGCTGGGACACACCGCAGTGATGCCTTAGTGATGGTTAATGTTTTTAACCCATGGTGACGGGTGAAAGAAAGCAAAAAACAAAAAACTCTTACGCTTGGCAAAACAATGGCGGCGTGCTGACTTTGAGCGTGTGAGTTCGGTACATCAACCCGAATCACTGGCTCGCCGCGCTTTGGCACGCCGCCGTGGCGTAAAGCCATCCGCCACCTTTCGAGTGGTTTGTTTTCACGCCTATTGGCATCACCTATCGGGAAGGGGTTAATGATTAGAAAAAATAAATGTGCTAGAGATATAGGACCTGACACCTTTGTATGATCTGTTGCCTTGTCCACAACTCACCAATCTGACTTTTCACACATTCCAGCCACTAATTACTACCCCCACTTAACCCAATGTCGCTGGGTGTACAAAAAAAAAAAAAAAAAAAAAAAAAAAAAAAAAAAAAAAAAAAAAAAAAAAAAAAAAAAAAAATCACGCTCTAGGGCATCATTATCATAAGGTCATCATAGTGGCTTATAAAAACATATCAATGGGGTGAGGCTTGGGCGGGAAAAGTTGTGGATTCCAGAAATGGTCTGTGGTTAAAACAAATGTACCAAACATCAAAGTCAACAGCCACTATGTAAAGGTATTGTAGTGGAAGGTAAATTTCCAATCCAGCAACTGAATGTGCATAACACTGTATCTGGCTTGCTATGGTGTGAGTAAATGCCAATGTCATGCTTTAAACTTTCACATCATGGCAGACTAACCCTAAAGCCAATAGCCAGCTGCCAGGAGCTTAGAAAGCAGAGTAATTTAGGTTTTTCACTGTTCTAATTTTTACTTGAGCAGTGGATTCGTGTCCTACCCTGTAGCTTCTTCAGCATGGTGCCAGGGTAGTTCCTGTTAAAAGTAAGCTAAGGATCTGGAATGTTCCTTTTATGTTCAAAGAAAATACCTATCACATTGGAGGATAATTGACTACAAAGGAAATTGGTCTTTCTATTTAGACATTAAATAACTAACATATTCAAACACATTTTATCTGTGGTCTCTTAGGTTGCCATTAGTTGACCCATCTTGATTCAAATCATCTACCCCAGGTATTGTATATGCTTCAGTAGTCACAAGATGATTTGCCATTTCCTTTCTGCTTAAATGTGATTAAAAAGGGAGGCAATGAAAAAGGTAAGCTAAAACTTCAGGATTACAACTTTACAGTCAAAAAAAAAAAAAAAAAAATGAAATAAAAAGTATATCAAAATCTATTGAAAATACTACAGAGAATACTAAAATATTGGTACATGAAATGCTGAAGGTTTAGAACACATCACACTGTTGCCCCATCTTTTAACATTCTTAATATCTGAATGAAATATGAAATCCTGTCACACACATCACACAACAGAAAAACAAGTGATGAGACACCATCAAATATATTCTAAACAGTGTTTATCTGTATAGGTGGTCAGACGAATGTTTGCGGCATTTCAGGTTCCCACGTGTCCCATTGCTTAACAATTTCTCCTTGTTGTAGAGGAGTTCTTCATGGGTCTCAGTTAGAGACTCAAAGTGGGGCCCTGAAAAGAGTGAAAAACAATTACTTTCAGCATATGGTGAATAGTTTCAGCAACTATACATGAAACATAAAGAATAAATATTATAGTGCCCCGGTATGAGTCACAGTAGCAACAGTTTATGCAGAGAGACAAGGAAAGAAAAAGATACATTTATACATCATATGGGAAAATTAATAGTTTAAAGTAAAAAAAAACAAACTTTTTTAAAATATGTTCTTTTTATCTTGTTTGAATATAAGCGCAACGGCATATATACTGGCTACTGTTCAAGTGGGGGTTTCTAGTTTAAGATCAGTATAGGTTAGTCTTAAGGGTTAATTTCATTTCTTTAAAATTATAAACAAATCTATTTCCAGATGTAAATTTTACCTTCAACAAAATTATACATTTTTTCATGTGAATCCAGTTATATACCAGAGAATACAAATTACTCTTTACATGACTTAATGAAAGTACATTCAAAATGTTAAGCATCCACATTCAAACATCGCACTCTCACACATTCAATTCACTCACTGTCTCTTTATTACACCACACACACAACACACCACACCACACACCACACACCACATATTAACATACATACACACAACAACATACATAAACACACATACTACTACAATAAACACGCACATACATACAGTACACATACAAATACAACATACATACACACACACACATATAAAAACAACACACACACACAACACACACACACACAACACACAACACACACACACTCACCCACACACACACAAAAATACACACATACATACATACACACATATACACTCTCATTTACTCCCTCATTCACTTACACATTCATTCACTCACTCACTCACTCTCTCATTCACTCACACATTCACTCATTCAGTCACTTACTCTCTCCCTCTCTCATTCACACATTTACTCCCTCATTCACTCACGCATTCATTCAGTCACTTACTCTTTCACTCTCTCATTCACTTACTCACTCTTTCTCATTCACTCACTCACTCTTATCATTCACTCACTCTCTTATTCTTCTTGTCTCGTCAAGGAAAAATTTGGCTTAGGGGAGGGTGACGGGATATTATTGCCAAATGCCAAGTGACAGGAAGATCTTGATATAAGTGCACAAAACTTTTGCAAGGAGACTGACATAGTGGTCCTTAAGGAAGGGGCTCTTGAAATACAGAGCATGGGGAAAAGAAGAAAAAGAAGAAGAAAAAATGAAAAGAAGAGGAAGAAAAAAATTACTATCTTGATATAGCAAAAAAAAAAAAGACAAGTACAGACACAGGAAGTGGCTTAACAGCAAAAATGCATTTGCAGAAAAAGAGCCAATAGCATTGCAAGGGGAAACAAAGAATCTTGATACTTTGTGTGTGTGTAAGACCAGGCCTACAAGCCACACAACTGGTAGAGTCGCCATTCAAGTAAGCCTGATGCCTTGACTTTAGTTCACATGCTAGTCAAAGGCACCCAGATCCAGCTGGTTAAAACCATTTACATTTATTTCCTTCTCATCTAAGTCAAGAACTTTTCCTCTGTGACAATATTGGGTTATGCATAGAGCTTCAGATATGCATGAATAAAAAGAAAAGAGAGAGATCTTTTTCTTCATTACTGTAATCCATTTAACTGATGCTATCACATAATTGCAAAGTGGCCCTAAAAGGGGGGTGATGCCCCCTTGGTAGGGACATCCAAAGAAAAGACTAAATTAAATTTATGTAACTTCAAAGTGGCCCCAGGGCATGGTCTGGGAAACACTGCTTAGGTGGAAATTTGTTTTTTTTCTGATAGTTTTATCTGTTTCACATGAATTTGATATATAACCCTCTTAGGGTGAGGTGTGATATATTGGAAATGGCTCATCAGCCCCACAAATTACAAACAAATTTGTTCCCATCACATCAAAAACCATGATAAAAAATAACTTTTCACCTAAGAACATTGGTGTTAGTATGCCTAAATAAATCAATAGCTTATTTAAAAAAAAAATAGTACTAACCTCAACAATGGCATCCACAGGGCATGCCTCCTGGCAAAATCCACAATAAATGCACTTTGTCATGTCAATGTCATACCGAGTAGTGCGCCTGGCACCATCAGCACGCTCCTCTGCTTCAATGGTGATGGCCTATGAAGAGCAAAAAATCTTGTCTGACATATGAGAAACACTTAAATATGGAAAGTTTTGTAATCCAAATTTCTTTATTTTTTGTTTGGTGAAGGGAATATTCAGATACCCATTCTGCCATTTTCACAAATATAATTCACTTGATCTCATTTGTGATCTATAACCACCCAAATTTGATCTGCCTGACCCCTAACTCACCTGAGCTGGGCAAATGGCCTCACACAACTTGCAAGCAATGCAGCGTTCTTCCCCAGATGGATAACGTCGCAAAGCATGTTCTCCACGGAATCTAGCACAAATCAAAAGCACTGGTAAATCATAAGAGCAAATGTAATTAAGTTGCATCAGTCTTGAAGTCTTGAACATAAAGGGAATATTTTTTATGAAATACACATTTACATGCTTTTCACCCTTTGTGGATGGGTACATGTACAATTCATTGTATTTTTGTTCTTTGAATTCTGTTTGAACATATATGGCTTCACAAGCTCTTAGTCAATTAGTAGAGACAACTGACTTCACCTGATTTCCCTATTTAAGACCATTTATTTTTATGCTATTACTATCATCTACTAGGAGAAACTCTAAATCTATTATTGGCACTACTTACCTGCACAGTAACCCTGTATAACTGACTTGGCACATATAGCATGTGATGTTATGGCCAATCATGGCCAATCATATGTATTACATATACATTCCTTAAATATGTCTTGCATTCATTATTATATTTGCATGATTTTTAAATTAGAAATACAGTACTTGCTACCACCAAATTTGAGTTCTGTTATCACAATACTCATTGCTTGTATTAGAAATGATGTTTGTTTACAATGCTACTTGTGGTTTCACATTATTTCCTAATATACCAATGAAAATGAACATATAATGGAACTGTTATGATCTCAGAGATAACACTAACTTCAGTGAAGTACAATAAATCAGTTCTTTCAACCAAAAGGTTCACCAAATTTGCCTCTTTGAATATACAGAATATCGTAATTATAGTACTGCAGCTGTTGGGTAGGGAATGTGTTAATTGGGAAGGGGATATGTTTATATGGCAAAAGGAAGGGGGTTTGGAGGTGAAGCCCCCAGTGGGGGAAATATGAGAGTGCATTTGGGGGTTGAGCCCTGGCTGGGGAAATACAGTGATCTGGAAGGGGTAAGCGGGTCCCCTTAATTGTAGAAATACAGCAATTGGGGGTGGGTTTCCTTAACTAGGAAATACAGCAATATCCCAGTTATCAGTATCTATTATTATTGACATTGTTACTCTAATGTTGTTAACAACACTAACAGCGACTTGTTAACCCATTGCCGCAGGGGAAAATGAACTAAAAATGGGGAGAATGCAGTACTCATTTTTTATATATTTGTGAAATATCTCTGTCCATAGATGGCTCCTCTAGTCCTGATTTCACCTGTCCTTGAATTAGCGGGAAAAAACGTATTCTTACTAGTGCTATAAATATAGATGGTGTTATTTTTAACAACAAATTAGGATAACGTAAAATATTTTTGTAAATCGATGAAAAGGGTGAATGGGCGAGACAGGCAGTACTCGTAATTGGCTCATTGGATACTTAGTACAAGTGTAGCCATCTATGTGTAAAAACAATCAAAAAAGTCGATTTGCAGTGGGCATGGCATGTACGTACATGCCATCCCCGGCGGCAATGGGTTAACAATAATAACAACAAAAATATGATAAAAAGTTTTCAGAAAAACATGAAAGGGGTTAACAGGTGAGATCAGAGAGGACAAGTAATGTGTCCTTGGTGATTAAGCATTTGTGGAGCCATCTATGTGTATGTAAAATTAATAGACTAAAATAGCAATGGGCAAGACATGTATGTAAATGCCATCCTTACGTCAGACCATTAACTTACCGTGGACTCAGGGGTCCTTTCTCAAATGGGTAGTTAATCGTTGCTGGTTCCTTGAAGATGTGACCTAGTGTTACAGCAGCACCTACAAAAGCAAGAATGAAGTGAGATAAGGTGAAAGGTTACTGGCTAATGTTTAAGGTATTCTTTTTAATGTATTGCTGTGCATTTCCAATATCATTCAACATCTTTTTAGATAGTAACTAGATTAATCAAAGCAGGATAGCTGTTAAGATAAATAAAAGTATTTTCACTTAGGTGGCGGAGGTACATGATACCATTACTTTACATGTGTTAAATAATTCTAATCCCTCTTTGACCTAAGGTTTCCGTAATAAGGAAGGCTACTAAAAGAGCAAAATGGGCTGTCTCTTCATTTATCTAGATAATAAATAAATATACTAACACATGTGAGAGAAAGGAAAAAAAGAAAAAGAAAAAAAAGAAAAAGAAAGAAAGAAAGAAAGAAAAAAAAAAAAAAAAAAAAATCGGTCTTTTACCTGAAACTATATACTTCATCACAGCAGAAAGGCAAAATTACTGTTTCAAACTATAATTACAATGACATTAACAATCATTTAAATAAAAATCTAAATCAAAATTAACACTAATATTGCGAGAAAAAAAAGAAATAAAAGGCATACAAGGATATGACTAACAATTAAGACCACAGCTACTAACCTCTCCACAGCTCAGTCCAGAAGATTGTTGCAGCTGCACGGTCAGTGATATCCTTCCATTCCATGCTCGGATCCTCTTGTGTGACATACTTGTAGTTGGAGCGAGTTTGGGTTACAGTTGCTCCACGTACACATGACCTCAGGACGCCTGACGCTAAAATGGGACATTTAAATGTGTTCAAGAGGACGACTCTAGCAGTATGTGAAAAAAATAGTATATAGATAAAGTAAAATATTCTTTTAACCCAATGGTGCCGGGTGTACAAAATAAAAAAAAACTCTATGCTTAAGCAAACAAAGGCGGTGCGCCGACTTTGAGCGAGTGAGTAAGGGACATCAGCCCGAATCACTGGCTCGCCGCCGGCTCATTTGGCTGCACGCCAGCTTTCGAGCGCTTTGTTTACACACCGATCGGCGTCACCCGGCACCAAGGGGTTAATCTGAGCCAATTACAATATTTGCATGATACAGCCAATGGTTATAATTTGTGGCTGCACGGACAGGATCTCAGCTATGCTGCAAAAGACTTACCAATATTCACTGTACCTTTGTATATATCAGGGTGATTAATAATACTCATTATTGTTCTCTGTATTGCAAGATATGGAAAACTTATACCAGGAATTGCACTAGCTTTAACTGCGACAGATTGCAGATATTCAGTTCTATCTAAGACACCTGTGAAACTGCAACTTAGTTCCCAAAGGCTGAGTTGCAAAGTTGAATTAATATACTGAAAGATGAAAGTATCTGCTGCAATGTTATTATTACTCTAATGATGCAACACCAAAGTCAACTTCATTCGAGACAACACAGTAAAGCAATTACTCGCGCACGCAAACAAAAGCCAAGAAAAGGATCTATAAACCCTGTCAAACAATAATTTTAAATTAAATTACGATGATATTCTACAAATATTACCATTTTTGCCAAGTGAAAATAGCCGGACAGTCGCCATGTTTACGAAGCCAGCTGGTTATAGACGAAGGAACCGGCAACCGCTTATTCAACCTGTATCCATACGTCTATAGTAACAAAAGAAAAACGCGATAGAGATCTTCAATGCGTTATTGGCTAACAGGATCTAATATTAAACATTTCATAGATTAAAAGATTTACTGTTTTTTTTTTCTCGGACAGGTTACATGGTGCTGGATATATAAAGATTAAAAATCCTGAATGCTTCTGGATTTTACCAGATTAGAGTAAAAAAAATGTATGCGACAACATGAAAGATATCCGCAATGAGTTCAGGGAATTAAACCAATTTTCATTCTGTTTGAAAAGAAATTCGTTATGTTTAACAGAGTGTACTGGGACTGCAATATTTTACAGGTCAAACCCATAAAGCCTGCGTTAACAAAAATGTAAAATCAAATAAAATAAATGAAACCAAAGTACAGATGGTGTATCCGCGGAAGTCATTATTTATGTACATATATATATTCTTTAATCTTATCTAGCCTCTACTTCTTGTAACTGATAGGGCGATTTATACAAAATTAATTTCTAGCACCTTAAAAAAGTTTATATTTACTGAAGATATCACAAAACATATTTTCTACTGTAAGTTAACTATAGAAAACATATACTTTTTAGGGTAGACTCTTATTAATTTCAAAATGACTAATATCTTGAAAACGGTGTCATTCTTTTGATAAAAAATCGCCGATTTTTTTTTACATTACTTTTTGAACGAAAGCCTGCAATCCATAATGGAATTAATTTAGGAAAGATAATGAACATATGATTTTGTAATAATCCATATACTGACCACTTATATTTTTTAATGAAATCACTCTAATTTAGAAAAATCACCTAGGAGCATTTACCTATCTATATATCCGTGTCTATGTATCTTTGCATCTATATATCTATGTACATGTGTGTGTGTGATTAACGCACACACACATTCCTCCACCTTTTTCTCCATCCTGTGTCTGTCAATCTAATATTTCTGATGTATCTGTTTCTCCATATCCATCTATGTCTCCTCTTTATCCGTTCGTATCTGTATCCCCCTCTTTCTCAGGTTCTCAACATCTCACAGATCCGTTCATGACAATCCTAAGTAAAAAACAAAATAAATAGATAAATATATCACAAAGAATTAATATTACACTTACATATATACGTATATATATATATATATATATATATATATATATATATATATATATATATATATATATATATATATGTATGTATGTATATATATATATATCATCATCATTATCATCATTTGGGAGCTAACGCCGGTAGGGGCGCATAGCCGCGTTCACCCTTCGCTTCCACCTGCGAGGGTCTCTCATGGCGAGCCGCCAGGCAGGGGCCCGGCCCATCTCTAGTTCCTCACGACAGGTTTGATCGATCTGCCCAAGCCACGATCTTCTCAATCGTCCCACAGGCCACCTCCACCCAGGGTTGTCTCGGACAGAGACAACCTGATGGGCAGGATCATCCTGTGGGAATCGAGCCAAGTGGCCATATAGCCTGAGTTGGCGATCACGGATTGTGCAAGTAACAGGTCCTGTACCGGTCTCCCGGTGCAAGGATCTGTTACAAAAGGCATCGAGACGAGATTCCAAAGCACAAGATAGCGTCCAAGTTTCACTACCATATAGTAAAACTGGCAGTATCAGGGCCTTGAAAACTCGTAGCTTGGTCCTTCTGCACAGGTACCGGCATCTCCAAATACTCTTGTCAAGAGATTTCATGACCCATGCTGCCAGGCCAATCCGTCTACTGACTTCCTGGTCTGACAGCCCAGAGTCATGAACTGCACTACCGAGGTATATAAAACTCCTTGTGACTTCGATGTTTTCACCGCAAGCACGTACCGACTGCACAGGGTCTCCTAGTAGGCCCCCAAAATCCTGGATCTTGGTCTTGGTCCAGGAGACCTCTAGCCCCAGGGGCTTCGCTTCATTGCTAAATGCATCAAGAGCCGCCACTAGGGTTTCCAGAGATTCAGAAAGAATGGCAACATCATCAGCAAAGTCAAGGTCTGTAACCTTGATATTGCCCAGAGTTGCTCCACAGTGACTTTGGACAGTAGCTCTACCCAGTATCCAATCCATGCAAGTGTTGAAAAGTGTTGGTGCAAGAACACAGCCTTGCCTCACGCCTGAACTAACAGGAAAGAAGCTCGACAGGCCCCCACCACACGTTACAGCACTTTCAGTGCCTGTATACAGGTTTGCTATTAGCCCAACAATCCTTGTTGGAATTCCTCTCAGTCTCAGGACCTCCCAGAGTGATTTGCGATGCACTGTATCAAACGCCTTCCTGAGGTCGATGTAGGCTGCGAGCAGCCCACGTCCGAACTCACGACGGCGCTCTACAATGACTCGAAGCGCCAGGATGCGGTCTATTGTGGACTTACCAGGAGTGAACCCAGATTGCTCCGATCTTTGGTGCCTCAGCAGGTGGTCTCTGATACGTCTCAGTAAGATGTGGGCGAGTACCTTGCCTGGTACACTGAGCAGTATAATGCCTCGGTGATTGCTGCAGTCCCACCGATCCCCTTTCCCCTTCCAGAGAGGGATGACCACACCCCTCAGCAGGTCAGGGGGAATGGTACTGGTCTGCCAGATGGCAGACAGGACTGCATGCAAGCCCCTTGCCATAGGTTCTCCACCAGCCTTTAACAATTCAGCTGGGATGCCACAAACACCTGCTGCTTTACCACTCTTCAGCTTAGAGATCGCCCCCTTGACTTCAGTCAGGGAGGGTGGATCCTCGCTGATGCGTGGGTCTGGCAGAGGAATCTCAACATTACCAGCATCCAAGTTAACTGTTGGTGGATCAGCCTGATACAACTGCTCAAAATACTCAGCCCAACGCACATGCACCCCATCAGGATCTGAGATTACCTGGCCACTTGCTGAGCGGACTGCCGTCATCTGTGAGGAGGGCTTGGAGTTCAGCTTTCTCAGGGCTTGGTAGGCAGGACGAAGGTCATTTACTAGGAAATGGCTTTCGACCACCTCTGCAAGATTACTGATAAACTGTTCCTTATCCCTTCTCAGCAGTGACCTAAACCTGCGTGCCAGAGAACGGTGCAAATTGCGATCCCCTGACAATCGAGCCGCACAACAAGCTTCTGTGGCTTCACCAATGGATTCCTGAGCTGCATCAAGCGTTTCACGCTTGAAGGGATCCCACATAACAATAGGGTCTGTCAGGCCCTCGAGTGCTGTGAGACGACCAGAGATAGCCTCAGCAAACCCCCGGGCACACTCATCATCCCTCAGTCTGTCCAGATGAAACACCCTGGGGTGTTCATTTGGTCGACGGGGGTTCTAAAGTAGACCCGGAGAGTAGCCACAACTAATCTATGATCAGTTCCACAGAACTCGGCGCTTCGATACACCCTGCAGTTCTGGAGGATCCTCCACCGAGTGCTGACAAGGATGTGGTCGATCTCTTTGGCCACACTACCTGTATTGCTGTACCAAGTCCAGCGATGCGGGTCAGAACGCTGATACCAGGAGCCAGAGATCCTCAATTTCTGGGACCTAGCAAAGTCACGGAAAAGGAGGCTATTCTCGCTGCCAGCATCAGCTCCTGAGCTATGGGGACCGACAGACATCTCGTAGCCAGCTCGATCACAGCCAGATACCGCATTGAAGTCGTCCAGAACAATACGAATATCTCGCCGAGGACAACTGTCTGCCACAGATGCAAGTTTGGCGTAAAACATCTCTTTGATCTCAAGTTTATGTACATCCGTAGGAGCGTACACAGCAATAAGAGACATGAAGCCAAATTAAAGCTTCAGTCTCGATACCATTATATGCTCATCGACTGGAGTGACCTCTACTACCGAGGGTTGAAGTCGGCTGGAGATGGCTATGGCTACTCTCTGGAGATGGTGCAGTGCGGCCCGACCAGTAGTAAGTGTAGCCACCCACACTAATTGTGCCACTGCCAGGTTTTCTCACCTCCGAGAGAGCAACCACCTCAACTCTCAGCTGCTTCAATTCCCTCGACAGTAGTGGTAACCGATCATCCTGTCGCAGGGAATGGACATTCCAAGCCCCCACCCTGACAGCCCGCCTGGGCAGTCACTCCGGGTGGGCACCGTCTCTGCCACCCCTACCAACGCCACCCCATACAGAGGTTGGCTGGCTGCAGGTCCCATAATCTGCCTGCAGGGCTTCCGGGGGCTTTCCCCAC